CCTCAGCTGAAGTAATGAGGACATTTACGCTCAGAATAAAAGGCAGAAAAATCGGGTTGGGCTGGGGACCCCGGGCCAGAGTGAAATTCCAAACTTCATGACAAATCGCAGAAGACAAAACTTTCCTCAACAGAGCCAACGTAGCCCCCCACACTAGTATGGCAAGCCAGTGTCTCCAGGTGAGACCCCTGTCTGCAGGGCAGTCAGGGTGGGAGGCTCGGGTTCTCCTCTGCAGCCCCCTCCCCGCCCCCAACCCGAATCATCCCCCAAAGGCAGAGGTGATATTCAAGTCCTGGGTGTGGACACATCCATGGGCTTTGGTGGCTTTGGGGGCGCGTGGGGGAGATGGAACTAGAGCCAGATACAGATCAAATACTCTGGTATTACTAGACCAACATCAAGTCATGCAGAGAGGTTATATGCCCCCCCCCACCCCCATCCCCTCCCAATGAGCTTTATTTCCTCTGAATCAAAAACACGCTGGTGGGTGGGCCATAGATGTGCCACCAGCCATACCCCTCCCTCCCTGTTCCGGGAAACCTGTGCAGCCACAGAGGGCGACGTCCGACAGGGTCGGACTCAGAGTCACCAGACCTGGACCCTTCCTCTCTCTGCATACCTGAACAAGTCACCTGACCCCTCCCAGCGAGGCAGGAGAACACGGACTGAGTTTGCAGTGCCTGCCGGACCACACACCCAGGCTTCATCTTGTTTTGTCCTCAAAACGGTTCTACAAGTATGCACAGACAACTGTTTTATTCCCATTTTCAAATCTACGTGTGAGGCAGTGTGTAATCATTCAATTGCCCGAGGTCTCACAGCAGGAGAGACGCATCTGGTGTCACCCCACGGGAGGAACGCCATTCTTCATCCCCAAGCCCACTGCCTAACATTGCTTCTTAAAAGTGGAGTATCTAAATATGCAATAAATAGGGGTTGAAGCAGAAGCTCCTTTACCCATCGCACAGATAAAATGATGTCAAAAAGTACAGAAGAGTAACACACGGGTGACCATCCTTTTTTAAGATGGTAAGCTGGCGTCATAAATGGAACTGAAAACTCCCTAGCCATGGGCTCTGGGCCTTGCTCTCTCCAAATACCACTACAAATGTACTTGTTCCACAGGTGCGTTTTCGTTCATTCATTCAGTTGTACAACAAACATTCATCAACTTTCTATAATATCATGTGCTAGCGCTGGGATTACAGTGAGGGGGACATGAAGATAAAGTGCCTTCCCAGGGTTCACATTTGTGCTGCAGAGGCTGACAGTTCCCAGATAAACATGGAATGGTGCATAGTGATAAGGGAGCAGGACATGGAGGGCCTGCTTCTGCCTCTCTGAGAAGTTGCTATTTGAACAGAGAGACCTGAAGGGCAGGACAGAGTGAGCCAAAGAGGGGTCAGAGGGAGAGCATGCCAGGCCCAGCGACAGCCACGTGCAAAGCCCTGACATGGGCACAAGGTTGGCAAGGCAGGAGCAAGGTGGAAGCCAGCAGGGCTGGCATCAGTGAGTGACGGTAGCAGTGCCAAGGGATGGGGTCAGTAAGACAGCCAGGGGCCCCATGTTCTGGGGGCCTCAGGTCTTTGCATTTGTTCTGAAGCCACTGGAGGATTGGGAGCAAGAAACTCACGTGATCTGACTTATGTTCTAACAGTCACGTAAGGATGAGCTGCCCAGGAGGCCACGAGACCAGGAGACCCAGCAGCTAAGGCTGACCGAAGCCTGGACTATGGGGGAACGGCAGGTGTGGTTAAGAGGTCTGATTAAGGATTCACGGCTCACCCTTGAACAACACAGGTCTGAGCAGCATGGGTCAACTTATACACAAATTTTTCTTATAAGTACACACACAGTCAGCCCTTGGTATTTTCTACCCACAGCTGGGAAGCCGCAGATGTGGAGGGCTGACTGTGTTGTTCTGTCATTTTTTATCAGGGACTTGAGTATCCATGGATTTTAGTATTCATGGGGATCCTAGAACCAATGCCTCAGGTCAAAGGTTATCCTCAGATTTTTTACTGCAAGTGGGGGGGAGATTAGCCCCCAAAGCCCCCTGGACTTCAAAGGTCAAACGTACTGTGAAGGCAGAGCAGGTGGGAACTGCTGGTGGATTGGAAGTATCAGGCACCTTCTGGAACAAAGACCCTACAACAGCTGGTCAACTTCTAGAAGCAGCTAATAAAAATCACAGTCGCCGTTTTCCATGGCGGGCAGGCACTATGCAAACGCTTTACATTTGTTTGTTCATATACTGAACCCTGACATCACCACCAGGCGTGCAACAGGCAGATCATGATCCACGGATGAGGAGGCGATGGTAACAAGCCCGAGGTCACACCCTGGTCAGGAGCAGAGCCAGGAGCTTCGGGACCCCCTCCCTGACCTGCCTGCTCGGCACCCTAGCCCTCACCCCTGCAACCTCTCCTCCCTCCGACCTTCACACGCAGGCTGTGCAAATCTGGGTGTGGAAGAAAAAGACTTCTTGGCCCAACACTTATTGATTGCTGTTTCCAAGAGGAAACCCTCTTGGGGTTTCCACTTGATCTCCAAACTTATGTTTATCTTGGCAATTGGAGCTCTGTGGCAGAGGAAATGCTGCAACCAGCCCACGAGGCCGGCCGCAGGGGCTCCTGCTGGTCCCCTCGCCTGTCTCCCTGGGAACACTTCCATTTAATCAGCAGCTCAGCCAAGGTGGAGAGAAGCGGGCCGTTCCGCTGTCCCACCATGGCCCATGCGCAGCTGTTGGGGCCTGTTTGATTCTGTAACCATGGGGGACAGGAGACAATAGAAAATAGATGAATGTTATGAAACCACACAAGAGAAAAGCAGTAGAAACTTTGGGAAGAAAGCATTAAGTGGAACTGGCTTCCCCCCGCCAAAAAAAAAAGACACCCCCCCTACACAAAAAGAAAGACCCAAAACAAAAACAAACAAAGAAAACCCACTAATCATTTGCATGGAATAAAAGCCCGGAATACCGTGGGAAAAGAGAAAGGAGCCAAGTCCTGTATAAACAGCACCTTTCAGCAATTTGCGGAGTGGAAACCCAGACAGCCCCACAGTGAGACAGGACGCAAGAAGGTGCTCAGGGGGAACATGGAACTCAGGGCTAGTCTCTTCTGTCAGCTGAAATACTGCACGTAATCACAGTTACTGGAGGAGGTGGACGTTACATATTCGGAAGAAGATAAAAGCCAGCTCTACCTCATATGAAAGAAAACCATGTAATCAGGTGCATGTTGTTCAAAAACACTGGAGGTCCTTTATCTGCATTCATTCATTCATTCATTCATTCAACAGTGGCGATTGAGCCTCCCAAGCCCTGTGCCGGGCGCTGAAGGACATGACACACGGGTTAAGGATAGAGCTCTGCTCCATGTAGTGCATGGTCCAGGGAGCATGAGGGATCCGTGCCTCCACAGGCTCAAGCTCAGGGAGCAGGACAAGCTTGGAGCAGGGCCCTTGTGGACAGAAAGAGGGTGGCCGTCAAAGCTGACTCATGAGCACTGGGAAAGAGGTGCCACTCCTCCGGATGGCACTTGTCATGGCAACCCTGTCAGTGGACAGAGATCAACATACACTAGTCTTCTACAGCCCCAACCAGGCTCAGACATGTGTCAGTGTCAGCTGTCCCTCTACGGACGCCTATGTCACATTGCATTTGTCTGGTCATTCTGTTATGGACACACCTCCCCCAAATACAAAGCTCAGGTTGGTTGGTTGATTTTTGACATACAACTTTCAGGTTCGTTTAGACCAGCAGTTCTCAACCTTCCTAATGCCGCGACCCCTTAATACAGTTCCTCATGTTGTGGTGACCCCCAACCATAAAATTATTTTCGTTGCTACTCTATAACTGTAATTTTTCTACTGTTATGAATCGTAATGTAAATATCTTTTTGTTTTCCGATGGTCTTAGGCGACCCCTGTGAAAGGGTCGTTCGACCCCCAAAGGGGTCGCGACCCACAGGTTGAGAACCGCTGGTTTAGACGGTTGATGACATAGGACATATAAAAGGATCGTTTATAAATGCTACAATGTGACATAAATGTCAGCTACCATTACATTGGATTTTGAAGGGTCTTATAAGTCACCTAAAGTGATCATTTTATGGATAATGAAGATATACCCAAGGTCACGGGCTTGGATGTGACAGAGCCAAAGTGAAGGCTTGAGATGACACACCGCTAGGACTCCATGGGAAGCACAGGCTTTTAACATTTCAATTCCATAATAATATATATTTTTCAGTCCTACACTGTTATCCTTAAATTTTCTGATAATTCTAAGCACATTCGATTCAGAATTTTGCTTTTGGCAGTACAATATTTCAACTTCTTGGGGAACAAAGGTGTGTGTTATTGTAGATCAAATCAGAAACCCTCCAGGTGACCCTACTATGAATCAAGCAGTCTAGTCCTACACTCAATGGTTCCAATTTGAAACCTATGAGAAGTCAAGAGCAAGCCAGATATAACTGGGGACAGAAGAAGAAGGTGGAAGGGGGAGGGGAGGAGAAGAAAAATGTGATTTTCCAGCACTGACTGGGGGTGGTATTGTTACTGTTTGACCAGAAAGCGATGAGCCTGGGGCCAAGGCTGGTGGAGGAGACCAGCCTCACAACCACAGTCACATGTCACCTAGGACACTTAGTAAAAGTCATCCATGTGCACGAGAATAAACCAACAATCACATCACTCAGTGGGATCCCCTCTCCTGCACTGGTGACCAAGAGGCTCAGAACCAAATGTAACCAAGTACAGTCAGCTTGGGACAGCCTAGTGGCTCCTCCATTGACTTAACTTTTCACATCTTCCTTATTAACCCTCTATCTACGTGCCTTCTGCCATACACAACCTCAAAACAGTCCAGGAAAAAGAAAAAAGTAGAATAAAGTCAAAGAATCAATTTACAAAAAAGGGGGCAACAGCAAAAGGCAGCAATTATCACAAATTATAAATAGCCCTTTAAACGGTTATTCTAACTTGAAACTTACCAACGGTGTCGCACGGTTCATCTTTGTGTACACAGAAATCTGTCCTAAAACGGAAAAAACAAAAAACAAAAAAACCAGTCAGGTGTATGTAACACCCCCAAGAATGGGAGAATAAAACACTGTCAATTAATCTTGGTTCGTCGCCCTGCCCATAGCAGCGTTATTACTTAGTTGTCACAGGTTACAATAAATAACAACTAGCAGCATTTGCCAAGAGTAACCCATCCACTTTTCCAACTAGAAGGCCCAGAAATCTCACGAGACCTTCCTTTTATAGCTAAACTATTCCATACGTAACCCTCAGTTGCTGGAAGGACTCCTTCCAACAGCTGAAAACGTTTTACAAGAAGATGTTTGCCAAGTCATGTAGCACAGACAATTATTAGTCAATATCAGCAAACCATGATGACTTCCCCAAGCTGCTCGACTCGGTTTTAGATGCTGCAAGGACCATGTATCACTTATATGAGAAGACAACCAAAAGGTCATTTCTAAACATTAGATTCTCCCCAGGATCCTCAGGTGTGTAGTTGTGAACAGATGAGAGATTGGAGATAGTCAAAGCCTAGTCCAGCCCCAGTTCTGGAGGTACATGGGACTTAGCTGCTCAGGTATGAAACAAAGGGTCTGGGCCCTTCTTTTCCCAGGATTTCTTCCATGGGTTCCCACAGTCAGGAGCTGAACCGGGCACTGTTGGGGGCAGTGCCCTGCCTGGGACCAGCTGAGGGGAGGAGTGCCCAGCTCATCTTCTCAGGGGGGACCGTGCGGGGCAGGTAGAAAGCTCATCTACAATTCTCTGAACACACTTAAGCACAGCTTTCAGGTTTACAAGGTGTGTTTTGAAGCCACCTCTTCTCATTTTGCTTTTTAAAAACCTTCTGGGATAGAAGATGGGGCCAGCCCCACAAGATTGGCCCCAAAGCAAAACTGTGAAAGAGTTTAGTGGCAGGTCCTTGTTGGGCCACACCTCGTCTTCCTTCCTGGGCTTATGCCTTATCCCGTTGTGTAACAGCTTCCCTTTCTGACACTCAGTCATTCATTCAATGACTCACCTAGGGGCTGTGGAAGATTCCACCCACCCACTTACACCCACAGATTCTGGGTCTGTAGGCTTAAAAGATTCCACTCGAGGTCCTGTGGACAGAATTCCCTGGTCCGGACCCAGTGCCTCAGGCCAAATTAGTCTTACCAGGTGCCCCGGACATCCTGGGAGCCCAGAGGAGAGGGCAGGCAGGCAGCCTTGGGAGGGGGGGGGTGACACCTTTGAAGGTGTGGACCCCAAACTGGCGTAGGGGACAGTGAGGGGCTGATCCTATCAGCAACTCACATGGGTTTTGCTGACTTCAAGTTTCTAATTTTTCCATAATAAACAAATATAATTTTGGTAATCAATTTTAAAACTTTTAACAAAGGAAAAAAGGAAGCCTTCAAGACCCTGTACTTTTCATAACCCACTCCAAAAGCAACGGGATTTCCAAGGGAATAACCATAGGAACAGGACATAGGAACAGGACGCCTCGTGACTTGATTTTTCTGTCACAGTCGACTTTGTATAAGACTAACAGGCAGTGGAGGGTGGCAAAGAAGCAGCAGAGAGGAAACACACACAAAAGCAGGGACATTCATATGCTCCCTGGTCCGGTGTCTACCTAACCCCAACCCAACATTCTTGATCTGACACCCTCTTTGATGTTTCACACAAGCACACACACACACACACACACACACACACACACACACACACACACCACCAGGCTGGCCTAAGATCTTCTTCCAGATTTTCCCAGAGTGAGCAATTGAGCATATTGAAAGCTTTATCCCACTGCCTCGCCTGGGCACAGGGAGAAAAGGCCTGTGACCATCAATCCAACAGAAGAGAACGGAACCAATGATGGCGCCCAGTTCACAGGCAGAAGTAAATCGTGGAGACAGCCAGCCCTGTTAGCTGACAGGTTCTGCGTGTTCTCCCATCCCGTGGCCACTCTAAGGGGGGAACTGGTGGTCTCGAATGGTGCCCCTGGCAGCCCCATCCTTTGCTTCTCCTGAGGAGGTGGGCAGAGGTGTGGTGTGCCCATGGAGGACCAAGCTCAGTGAGAGGCCTGGCTTGAAAGAGTTCACCCAAATTTGAACCTTCTCTCTCCTTCTTGGTCAAGGTCCTTTCTCAGAAAATGAAAAGTAGGCCATCTGCCGGCGGGGGCAGCTTCATCTCCAGGTAATCCAGCTCCCACAGCCAACTCATGACACACACATGTAGAGGCTACAGAGTTCATTTAGGGAAGGAAAAAATGGGTCCCAGGTGCAGCTATCCAGTTGGTAAGTCCATTCAGGTGTCACCATTTGCTCCCCAAGATAGAGAAGGCCATGCGGATGTATGTGACAGGCTGACTTCACGGTGTGTGACCCATGCAGTCACACAGGCCCTGCCCTCAGCAGCCCCAGCCCCCAACTTGGTTTAATGCTCTGCTGTTGCCACTTTGAAATTCTCGATAATGTTTGAATATGGGGTCCCACGTTTTCATTCCGCACTGGGCCCCACAAGTTATGTAGCTAGTCCTGGGCATAGCCTATTGCCTGGCATCCAGTTGGAGCTTAATAAACAATGGCTCCTTCATTATTAAACGGCTGACATACATTTCCAGACCACTTTCGACATGCCCTACAAACTCACTGGTGAAGTGGCCTCGCCATTCCCCAGTGTTTGGAAACCTGGTAAAACGTTCAACTTGGTCCACAGCTACTCAATGAGCACTCCCCATGAGCCGGGCCTGCAAGGGGCCCCCCTTGGTCAGGAGGTTGAAAAGAAGACTATTCCTGGGGAGCCGGATGGAGTCACATGCAGGGGAAGCTTGACGGACAGCTGGAGGTCTCCCAGGGGTCATGGTCTGGGCCAGCCCTGAGTGTTCTATCCTGGTGTCTCCCAGGAGCACAGACCCGAGTTTGCGGGGAAAGTCCCATGCTCCTGGCTTCCCGAGGGAGATGTAGAGTCAAAGGTAAAGCTGTGCCAAGCACTGAAGGCCCCTGGGGCTCCGGTCCTGTGTGGGCCCTGTGTGGCCCCCAACTCCATCCGTGCACACATCCTTTTAGACCTAGACATGGCTGCAGCTGCTAAAAATCCAGCTTCTGCCGCTCCTGGCTCAGAAGCATCTGCTGGACATGATGTCATATTCCCATTCCGCAGCTGGCCATCTGTAAGGTTGGTGGGCGTCCAGGAGAACACACTCTTGGGCTCAGCCGCAGCCCGTCCAAGGGGGGAAAAAAACGCAAAAGAGGAGCAAAGCTCACATCAGCCAGTCTGTCCAGGACCCCGGGACATTGGCCCCGAAATACTGCCTGGCCCGCGTGGCCCTCGGCGTGGATGACGGAGGAGGAGAGCACAGCTTCCCCAGAGCAGCAGCTGCCTCACACCCAATTTCCGTGTGAAAACATCAGCCCATTATTATCCCAACCAAGGGAATTGCAGCTCTCAGCCTCTAATTATTAAACAATGCTTCTCGGCCAACTTGGCTTCCAGCCCCGACTCCAATGCTGCCTGCCTCTGTCCTCGTGGGAGGTCTTCCATTTAACGTCTGCGAGGACCAGGAGGGTGGGATGGGCGCGGACCTGTTCAGTCCATCAGCTCGACAGCAGCCGAGAGCACTCGTGATGGCTCAGGTAGCTCCTGAGGTGAGTGCGTGGAGTAAGCAAGTACCTGGGCTGGCTGGCTGCAGGTAACAGTGACACAGGACACCTTGGCCTGGGCCCCACCTCCCTTTGAAGGGGCTTTGCTTTTCCGGGTCACCAGTCATCGGCCTCCCCAGCATCCACACTCAGAGCCAGCTATGCGGACAACCGTCTGTGTGCTATCGGGACCTCCCCTCAATTTGTTCAGTTACAAAAGAACATTTTTACTTTTTTTTTAAATTGAGGTAAAATACATGTAACATAAAATTGACCAGCTGAACAGTTTAGAAGTGACCACTTCAGTATGGTCCCATTCACACACACACACTGCTGTGCACCCCGACTTCAGAAGTCTTTCCATCTTGCAAAACAAACTCTATATCCATAAAACTCCCCATGCCCTCCGACCACCAGCTCCTGTCTACCATGGTTCTACTTTCTGTCTCTATGCATTTGACTGCTCTAGGCATCTCACATAAGTGAAATGATACAGGACTTGTCTTTTCTGTGACTGGCTTATTTCACTCAGCATAACGTCCTCAGTTCACACACGCCGTAGCTGGCGTCAGAATTTACTTCCTTTTTAAGGCTGAATACTATTCTATTGTCTGAATGGACCACATTTTGTTTATCCATTTGTCCATCGATGGACACTTGGGTTGCTTCTGCATTTCAGCTATTATGAACAATGGATTTTCTTGGAAGTTTTAAGACTCTTAACCAGGATTTCAGTACTTTTAAATTAATGATAACAATAGTACCAATAATGGCTAACACTTACTGTGCCCTTACTTTGCGTCAGGCACTGTCAAAAGTATTTCCCATGCTCATTTAATCCTCACACCTTGGAGGCAGGTGCTATCATTTATCCCCATTTTACTGATGAGGAAACTGAGGCTCAGGCAGGTGGCTCCAGGTCTGATTTCCGAGCCTGAATTCCTGGCCCACTGCCTTCTTTTCTCTCCAATGGGACATGGCTTTTCCCTCTCCCGTTTTCAGCTACAGGCCAAATCCAGCATTACCTGGTCACGAATACAGCAGCATCCACGGGGGGTGTATCGTCCTTCCCTCCCGGCACCTGATTGTTGCCAAGGTACCGTGCGCCTCCATATTCCTCATTCTGCCAGTGACAGAAGCTCTCCAGGGACCGCTCACCGTGGTGCCCAATGGACAACTTGGCCTAAAAGGAATTAGGGGCCGTTTAGAGAAGCAAAGGCCCATGGGAGCCAGAGTTTCTGCTGAGACTAGAGAGGAGCGGTGGAGACAGCTGCTCGCTGGGCATCATTCTGCGATGCACTCCCCCCAGACACAAACCTAACACTGGTAGAGACCAACAGGCCACCAGGGGCCTACGTCCAAGTTCAAAGGAAGACTATGTTATTAAAGAAAAGCGTTCTTCTTTTCAGCCAACTGAACACAATGTACCCAACCAAGCATCGGTCCCTCCCTGTCACGTTCATTGCTTGACTCTGCAGGTAACATCGTCAATTGAAAGACCAGAAAACAATGCTATGGTGAATCCAAATTTGGGCTGCAGCTCGAGCATAGCTTCGGAAGGGTAGCCATGGTTGCAAAGACCTCACCATCAAGTCCATGCACGTGAGACGTGCCCGAATGATGGAGGGATGCATACAGGCCCACTGCTCAGGGTCCCTCGAGATTCTGAGCGGATAACATGCTCCCCCAGTTTCCGGTGATGGTACCTGCTCTCCTCTCACCGGCATCCCCGGTCCCTGGCCCAGGGCATACTGTTGCCATCTGCAAAGCCAGGGAGGGCAGATAGGACAGACAACCCCCCAGACTCCTCCTTAGTGGCCAACATTGACGAGGAAGCTTCCAGACCTGTTACATTTTCCGTGAAGGGCGCCGACAGGGACTTACAGGACGCTGTCGTAGAAGGACAAGCTTGGTGACTTGAATGTTGACTTTAATTCCAAGGCTCTGGTGTTGAAACATGTTGTATACCTATAGAGAGAGAAAAAAGAACTAAATAAAGGTGTGACTATATAAGTTTTTAAAAATACTGTAGAATCCTGGATGGGATCCTGGAGTAGAGAATTTAGGTAAAAACTAGGGAAATCTGAAAAACAACAATGG